GCACTTTTTCGTGTGGCTGTTGATAAAATTAGGATCGCCAACATGATCGCCAATGTCCAAAGATGGATATGGCAGGAGGAGGAGGAGGAGGAGGAGGAGGAGGAAGAGGAGGAGGAGGAGGAGAAGAAGGAGAAGGAGAAGAAGAAGAAGAAGAGGTGGTGGTGGTCTCAATCTATGCTAATAGGGGATTATGGGATTGAAATCTTTCCTGTTTAGAGATGATCAGGGTGGGAAAGCTGTTTCACACACACACACACACACACACACACACACACACACACACATTGGTCACCATCGAAGAACATAGAGGTTGCCCTCATCTTACAATCCCTTGTTTAGCAACAGTTCAAATTACAACAGAAAAAAATGACTCACAACCAGTCCTTGAATTTACAATCATTGCAGCATCCTCACACAAGAGTATATTCAATATTCGGCCACTTGTATTTGCCACAATTGCAGTGCCTGAGGGTCATTTGATCATCATTTGCAACCTTCCCAGTCCACTTCAACTAGCAATGGGCAAAGCCAGTTCTGCTTAATGACGGTTCTGTTAGGGACACTTTTTTTTATGGGTGCCTGGAAGGAGGCAAGAGATGGAGGTGAAGGCTTTGGTAGCCTCTTCCAATGCTACATTCCCTGGCTTCTCAGTGGAAAAGTAGTGGACATTCTGGAATTGCAATTTCTTTCATCTGCTACCCTACTAAGTGCTTCATTTTAAATATTGTACGTATATGTGACCATTTGCCTGCCCAAGATCCACCTCCTTGAGTGTGACCTCTTGGATTCATGTTTTTTTGTTGTTTAATACTGTATTTTGACTACCCATGTTCCCCTGAAAATAAGACTGGGTCGTATATTAATTTTTGCTCCGAAAGACACATTAGGGCTTAGTTTCCGATTAGGTCTTATTTTTCAGGGAAATACGGTACTAAAAGCATCCACCTGGCTAACAATCTTAACTGGGGCTTATTTTGGGGGGAGGGTTTATATTACGAGCATCCTGGAAAAACCATGCTAGGGTATTAACCTTAAGAGGGTATTAACACAAACATACATACATATATCTAAATGCATGGGAAAGAAAACTCCTTTGATCATGTTCAGTCACTCTGCTAAACAAATAATTCCCTCAACCCTGTTCAACTATTTACAAAGTCTGCACAACTATTACTGTTAATCTTCTCATCACTCCTTATCACCCTCCCACTTGCGACTGTATGACTGTAACTTAGTTGCTTGTATCCTTACAATTTATATTGATTGTTTCCTAGTATGATTTGATTGCTTATTGTACCCTATGACTATCATTAAGTGTTGTACCTGATGATTCTTGACTCTTGACCAATGGATCTTTTCTTTTTATGCACGCTGAGATTATTTGCACCAAGACAAATTCCTTGTGTGTCCAATCACACTTGGCCAATAAAGAATTCAATCTATCTATTCTATCTTCAAGAGCCATGCTGAGCTCTGGAGTCCCTGGTGTTTTGCTAAAGTTTCTGATTTTGGGTTACTTCCATACAAGGGTATGAGTACGGTATTCTATCTTCACAAAAGCTCCGAGGTTGAATGTCCAGGAAGTCATGTTGGCTAAGGCCAGCAAAATAGCCAGTGCAAGATTTAAGTAACTTAGTGGCCAATCGGATGCTTTCATATCCAAAGAGACTAAAAGCACATTGTACTGGGAAGGGGGGCGCCAGTTTGTGACTGTCAAGCCCCTCATTGTATATCAAAGACTAAGGCTGAAAAGGCAGCCCAAAATGTAAATTCCAAACAGCAGAGGAAAATTACTCTATCTGGCATCTTTTACTATGTCTAAATGGAGAACATCATATAAAACCTTTCCAACATTTTGGTACATTAGCTCAGCATTGTTACGATCCTGATAGTACTAAGAAATGGAAATGAAAGAAAGTGGCTTGTTAAATATCCATTTCCATGCACGCTTAAACAGACAAAATGTTGCAAGCAGCATGTCCATAAAGGACTCCTCTGGACTTATTTAAAACATAAAACTGCTTGGTGCCCAGTTCCAGCACTGGTTTCTTCACATCAATTCTCCCCCGTGCCTTGTAACTGCCCCCCCCCCCAATGCCCAATGAGTAAGGGGCATGCTGCCTGAAATTACACAAGTCAACTTTGGAGGACAGAAGGGGAAAAGGATGCCAGTTTGGGGAAGGACTCTATCATCGCTCTCACTTTTTGTACAAGCACCGCTTCAAAAGTCACTGAAGGGGTTTCTCAGCAGCAGCTGAAATAAAACCTCCAGCTGCAGAAGCAGTTGGCCTTAGGGACTGCCTTCAGGGATCCGGCTCAGGACCCATAATTTAAGAGGAAGCCAAATTATCATCCAGGAAAATATCCTCATCTGGACTGGCAAGAGCATAGATCTAGGACCTTGAGTTGAAATACTCAAAATTACCCATTAATAATACAGTAGAGTTAGAAGGAAACCAACGACTGAGTCTTATTATCTTTATCTTTGAAATAAATTCTCTTTTCTGCAACAACAACAAAAAGTGCTTATCAGAACTGAGAGGCTGAAGCTTACATCTTCACCACAGAGGCGCAATTTTAAGCCAATCAAGATTTCTCAGTCTATTCTACCACTTGGGAAGGGCGAGGAAGTAATACATACACTCTAATCAGACACCCAGATCATGCTGAGTTTGCCAGCATCCAGGCTCCAAAAAGGATCAGGGGTCATTTATGGTTCAGCATCCTGTGGGAAGCCAGCCATGGATTTCAACATGTAGTATAAACCAGGTCATCATGCTAAAATGGGATTGATTTGTCTGAGCACAGCAGGCATTATAAACAAAGCAATTATGCTTTGTTAGCCCAGGTTGAGCATTAATGCCATGGTGTTGATTAGCAAAGTAGCCAGAACTAAGTCCTTTGTCTATGGCTGGAGGTGTTGGGTATAAAGAGCAAAACTGTCAAGAGGCTCTTGTCTTAATAAATAAGGACCACACAATCTGTTGCTTCTTGTTATTGTTTTGTTTTGCTCTGGCACTCTGGAAACACAAGAAGAAGCTGCAATGCACAAAAGAGCAATGGAGCCAGAGATGAGAAACGTTTGCTGAGATCCCCAAGAGCTACGAAAGGTTCCAAAATTACTCCATCGCTGCACAGACGCTGCTGAAGAAATTGTTTCTTCGAAACTCTCTTCTCTCTCTCTCTCTCTCTCTCTCTCTCTCTCTCTCCCTCCCTCCCGCCTGCTTTGGTGAAGCAGAATTGCATGAGCCTCATTCAGCAGAGTTCTCTGGAAGCTGCCAAGTCAAATAATTAATCCTGCTACTATTAAGCAATGTCTGCCATAATTGCAATTAATATTGACATCATCAACCTTCTGGAGTCTTTGAGCAGAAATTTCCTTTGCCTTTTACAGATGTCCAGGCCTGATGCTGAATTCCTCCACAAGCAGAATCTGTCCTTAATCACTCATCAGCTCCAGATGGTTCCCTTCTTAACCTCACACACAGACTCAATTTAGAATGGGTGGGCTACTGGGTTACTCAATCCAGAAGAGTCTTCTCTATCCCCCTTCCAACTCTGATGTGCTTCTGAGAGGTAGAACCAACTTGGTGTAACCGCTGTTAACAGTTCTGGGAACTGATCTGGCCAAATAATCGGAAAGTGGAGAATTGGAAGAATGTGTCTAGTCCGGTGTTTCTCAACTTTTAAGACATGTGGACAGGCTGGCTGGGGAATTCTGGGAGTTGAAACCCACAAGTCTTACAAGTTCCAAGATTGAGAAATATAGTTCTATTCATTACTAAAGACCTTTAAATGGAAACAGCGATTGCACTTAGACTTACATACTGCTTTCCACAGCGCTTTTACAGCCCTCTCTAAGTGGTTTACAGAGTCAGCCTCTTGCCCCCAACAATCTGGGTCCTCATTTTACCCACCTCAGAAGGATGGAAAGCTGAGTCAACCTTCATCTGAGCAGGATTGAACTCCTGGCAGTCGGCAGAGTTAGCCTGCAATGCTGCACTCTAACCACTGTGCCAACATAGCTTCCTTCCTTCCTTCCTTCCTTCCTTCCTTCCTTCCTTCCTTCCTTCCT